AAATAATAAAACATTCCACTAGAGTAATATTATTGCTCTCCCCATTTAGCCACTATTTTACCAATAAAATTGAGCCTCCATGATTAAATAATATTAATCCGATTGATCGATTTACCTCCCTATGTTTAAGATATAACGTCCATTGATTACTTAAATTACTGACAAAATAAATAATCAACTTCTTATTCATTTCCGAAATCAGTACCACTCAGAACCTTAACCATTATGTCAGACAATCGTCTACCTGCAGGGTTTAACAAATGTACATTCCTGAGCTTATTTCGAGGACGTCATCAATCCAGCGCACTGGAACATAGTTGTAACACCCCGCTAGCTTATTAAAATCAGAGTAAAATTTTCGCAAAACTTATCTGAAAAATACTTATTATTTGCGAAATCGTGATTCGGGATGCTACAGGAAAGCCTTTCTTTTCTAAAAATCCGTTATCTTTTCTGAATTAAAATTGTTAAGAAAAATGGATTATCTTAAGCATGTGAAACTGTACAAGATCCGACTGGAATTTCGTACCAAAACCTGATAATCATCATGCGAGTTCGAAGACCTGGAAATGTCAGCGAAAGTATAATCGTAGCAAAATAAATTTGTACATATCAAAAGTCTGCAAAATAATATGTACTCAAACCCACGACCACCGGCTCCGCTCACTCCTCGAGACCGACCTTGTGACCTGAAAAAGATAATATCGTGGGGGCGTGAGCACTAAAAGCCACTGTGCTCCGCAGAAACTCATGCTAAAATAAAACAGTAATAATAATTGCAATATCATGATCAAAAGCATATATATAATCTGTGTCTATGTCATGTCTGTGAACTGGCTGGTCAACAGTATAAACTCGACCAGATACTGAATCTGCCGGCTATAATAACTCCGCTGGAACTATGTGCACACCCTAGTAGGAAGATCACGCCACTAGAACTCAAAATGGATTTAGGGCACATGAACCGGCCACCATTCTAAGCAGAACTGGTATATACATACCTCAAACATGATAGCTGTAATTATACTCAATGTAATACTCAGTCTGAGTCTCCACCTGAACTGCTGGTTTGTAAGTGTTGCTGCTGATCAAACTGTAAAAATATATAAACAAACAAATACTAAGTACTATGCTCAGACTGACTGAAAATAACTGCTAAGATGCTCAACTCGAACTTAAATATTTAACTGGATTTACTGAAATAATCTCGGGTTCTGACTTGACTGGCTAAAAGGGTGTACTGAACAAGAAATACTAAACTGAACTGGAACTGCTAAACTAGACTGACTGAACTGAAAATTTAACTGAAATACTGAACGAAACTGACTGAACTGACTGAACTCGAACCGGGTCACTGAGTCCTGAACTACTCAAGTAACTGGTCTGAACTGGCCGGTTCACTGGCTGGTCGGCCTGTCGGCTCACTGTGGCCGGCCGGTCGGCCGCTGGCTGGGCCATCGACACGGTCGCATGCACCGGGCACAGCCTGGGCGCTGCTGGCTTGGTCCGTGCGTGACTGGCTTGGTCCGTGCGCAAGCGGGTGTGGCTGGCACCACGCGTGTGCTAGGGACGGCTGATGACGGTGGGCGAGGCGTGGGAAGAAGACGGCGCAGGCTTGGGGCGCACGAAGGCGTGCGCGTGCGACACAGGCGAAGCGTGTGAGTCCGCGCGCGAGGAGGAATAGGAGCCGCGGGCGGCGCGCGTTGGAAGGCGGCGTGCGAAGGGTTTTGAGATGACTTGGAGTTCAAGACTTTGGATTGGAGTGCAAGTCAAGTCTTTTGGAGTTTTAGAATAATTAGGATTTTATTTCCTTGTTGCTTTTAATTATTGATTTAGGAGATCTAGTTTGATTAGACTTAGATTTACTTTATGCATCTATAAATACCCATGTACCTCTTTATTATTTAAAGGTGAAGAATTGATGAGTGAATAGAAAAGGGGAACATTGTGTTCTATCGTGTGTTTAAGCAAGGTCGTAGTGCGTGTTTATCATACAAATCGTGTCTAAGAGAAGGCCCTGAGAGCGTCTGTTAGTCACACCTATCGTGTTTAGTCAAAGGCCTTGAGTGTACGATTATTCACACCAAATAGACAAGAACCGCGATCCGTCATCATTGGTGCTCTCGTTGAGAGTGTCCGATCAAGGTTTTTATCTATCTATCTTTTTCTTTTCTTTTCTCGTTGAGAGTGTCCGATCATGGGTATTTATAGGTGCATAAAGTAAATCTAAGCCTAATCAAACTAGATCTCCTAAATCAATAATTAAAAGCAACAAGGAAATAAAATCCTAATTATTCTAAAACTCCAAAAGACGACACTTGCACTCCAATCCAAAGTCTTGAACTCCAAGTCATCTCAAAACCCTTCGCACGCCGCCTTCCAACGCGCGCCGCCCGCGGCTCCTATTCCTCCTTGCACGCGGACTCGCACAGTTCGCCTGTGTCGCACGCGTATGCCTTCTTGCGCCCCAAGCCTGCGCCGTCTTCTTCCCACGCGTCGCCCACCGCCTCGGCTACTCCTACTCCCGCACGGACTGGGTCCTCGCACGTCTGCCCAGCACACGCCCCACTGCCTTGCGCTGCACGCCCGCCGTCTATCTCCTGCGCGTGAGTGCCTGTCGCGCCTATGCCTGCTCGGTCTAGGACTCATGCGCCTGTATCCCAATCACGCGCCAATGCGCGCTCCCCTTCACTGCCGACCTCCTCATGCGCATGACATCGCGCGCTCGACACTCCTTCGCCTATGCGGTCTCGGGCTCCTTTCGCGTGTGCGTCATTCGCGCCTCCTGCGCACCCTGCGTCTATGCCGTACGACGCCAGCGCGTCCCAGCCAACACCCGTGCTCCGATCGCATGCTCCGCTTCCGTGTGCTCCTCGCGCTATCCCGCATTCATCCCACGACCGTACATCCCTTGCACGATCACTTGGCCACTCGTGCGCATCAAGGCCCGATGCACGCTAGTTGCACGTGCTCGTCCCTTTATTGCCGATCATCTCCGCCGGCTTGCCCAATGGTCCTGGCTCGTCCCATGGGTCCCAACCTTCCAACACAATGCAATCTCCAGCACGCCATATCCAACCGTCCTCCATCGTTTGCACTCCCTTTCTTCTAGCCACTATTTTCCAAGGTCGTTTATTTCTTGCACAAGGCCCACACCAACAACCTACCTTTTTAAGCCTTTGTCTTGCGTTGTCTCATGGCCTTGCGTTTCTTAGCCTTCTACTTCAACTTTGGACCACATCCTTTTGGCCAATCCCTCACACATGAAGGTCGATAAATCAGGCTTGATGGCTCCTCCAGCATGTTTTCCAACCAAATATCGAGATCTTCGACCATCCTGCCACTTGACTCATCGGGGTTAATAACCACTTCCGTATCAACGGCTATCGGCGTGCTGCTGTGCAGTGCCGACGGCTACTGGGTGTTGGGACGCGCAATTGGGCACTGCCGGGCGCGACTGGCCACTGTCGAGTGCACTGGCTGCAGCACTGGCGTGTACTGGCACTGCTGGGCGCTACTGTGCTCCGCCGGCAGGTGACTAGGCACGCGGGCTACGCTGCTCGCGCGTACTGGGGTGACTGGGCACTCGGGCGTGCTGCCGGGCACTGCTGGCGCGCTGCTGGGCACGCAGGCGTGCGCTGGGACTGGCCAGTGTACGCGGGGCACTGTTGGTTGACGGTACTGGCGTGCTGTGAGGCGGCTAGGCGCGCTGGCGTGCGCTGCCGACGCTCGTAACGCACTGGGGGTACTGACTGCGTGCTGCCGCACGGGCTGTGCACGACGCACTGCTGGCGTGTGCATGCTGCCGCGTTGTTACGGAAGTGGCAAGGCAGCTCAAGAATGCCGCAAGTCGTGCCTATCACGCACGCAAGAGAATGGCATGGGCCACAGGCGAGACGCACGTCCTGGAGCAGGAGACGCGCACGGAGCGCGAGAGTAGCCAACCAACGGGCAAGGACGACTACACGCGACTAGCGCGCGAGACAGGTGAGCACGGTGTCACTGGCGCGGGCGCACAACACGCGCAGGCAACAAGCACAACGAGCACGGGTGAAGGTGAGCAGGACGCGCGAGCGGCAGGATTGGCTAGCGCCCGCGGAAGGATCGCGCATCAGGGAAGCACGCGTACGCAATGTCTTATGCCTCGAGGCATGCATACTGGCGGGCAGCCACGCGCGCGGGGGCAGCGCAGCAGGCGATGGCGTGCGCAGCACGCCGGTGATGATGATCGCGTGTCCCTGATGTACGATTGCCATGAATTTGCACGTGAACGGCTCCTTCTATGCGTGGTGCGGACTATACGGATGTTAAACTCCTTGTCTTCTTGCGATAGATGAGACAACTCGGACGTGAATTCTTGCCAAACTCCAGCTTATGACGAACTATGCGGTAGAACACCCTTTTCGACACAAGTATTTTGTGATAAAACTCTAAGAATTCTAAACACAAGAAGATGAACAAAAGTTCTGATTTCTATTGATAAATTTGATGATCCAAAATAACATGGGGAAAGGGCCTTTATATAGGCACAAAATATATCTAGTCCTAATCTACCTAGGGAACTAATAAAGCAATAAAATATCAAGTATCCTAAACAATCTTGATATTATAGTGGAATAAGGAAACTAAATAGCTAGGGGATCTAATGCCTTGGCTTGCACTCCAAGTAGTCTTGCCTTGCACTCCACTCCTACTCCTAGCCGCCCATCCGCCTTGGTCCAACCGCCCGCGTGTTGCCCTAGTCCTCGAGGACTAGGGCCGCACATCCTACGCCCGCCTATTCTCTTGCCTCGAGGAGTAAGGCCTCGTGCCTTGTGTACGCCATTCCTATTCCTTGAAGGATCATGCCTCGAGCCCACATCCACTTTTCCTATTCCTATTAGGAATATGCTCCCGGCTATGTTGCATGATCTCTCGAGGATTACTCCCGTCCCCGATATTTCTTGCGTGTTCCGACACTCAGCTGCTTTTCCTAGTCCTGTGGGATCTAGAATTCGCACCTTGTCTATTCCTATGAGGATTAGGCTATTCATCCTTGTCATGTCTCTCCTTGCCCGTGCGCATGCGATCGCATCCTTCGCCTGCGTGACCACCTCGCGCTTATTGCGCACGCCCCGCGCCCCATCGCTACCCTCGCTCTCGCTCAGCGCCCCGCGCGTGTCGCCTGGTGCCCCGTCGCCCAGAGCCCATCCATAGCAGTCCCTTGCGCGGGCCAACGTCCCAACGTCCACCCCCTGCGCGCCATTCAGCATATCCTCCAAGCACCATGCACGCTGCTCCTTTGCAAAAAACTCCCATCGACTATCCCGCATCCGCGTCGACCCGTGCTCAGGCTTGGTAGGGTCGATGACTACTTCCGTATCATTCCCGCCCCCTTTAAGCACATCCTTGTCCTCAAGGATCGGGATACGCCTCTTGTGCTTGTTCTCTTCATCCATTAGCTCTAGAAACCTTAACTCCGTACCTTTAACCGTTCCCCTCAGTTTGATCTTCAATATGATCAATCTCTTTTCCAAATAAAATTTCATTATCCCCTCTTTATAATTTGTTTTGACTTCTCCAAGTCCTTCTAACCATTGTACCCCAAGAACTATGTCAGGACCTACCAACGGTAATGAGTAGAGGTCGGCCTTGATGGTCTCGCCTTGAAGATTGATGGGTACGTCTCGATAGTACTTATGGCATCGTAGCTTTTCCCCGTTGACAACCCTTACATCAAATGGATCCACCTTTGTTGCCAGTAACTTCAATGCGTCCACTAATATGGCACTAATGAAATTGTGGGACGACCCAATATCAACTAACACCTCAATAGATCGCCCTCGGACTGAGGCGGGCAACTTAATGGTTCTCGGCCCTTGCACTCCCAACATTGCATTAACCGAAATTTCCAAGTCCTCCTTGATGTAGTGCCTCGTTTCCACTTCCTTGAGTTCCTCCTCATCATCGGAATCGACCACTTGTATCATGTATGCTTGCTTGCATCGATGACCCGGTGTGAATCTTTCTCCACACTTGTAACATTGCCCTTTTTCTCTTCGATTCCTCATCTTTTAATATGATAACTTTTTAACTTCAGGTGGAGAAGGTCGGTAATTACCTGAATATTCCCTATGAACACCTCAGTTGTCAACATGCGCATCCAACGCCGTGCGAGAAGGTTCGGTGGGATTTTTGTCCCCACGTCTAGCTTTTTGAGTCGCGGACAAGTGATCATCCCTCCTTCGTGCAATTTCTATAGCCTCTCGCATTGTTGAAGGCCTCTCCAATCGAACTTCTGCAGCGAGATCAAATTTTAGACCGCCGATGAATGCCCCAACAAGCGCCCTCTCGGGCCACCCACGTACACGACAAGCTAAGCGTTCGAACTCCCGTTGAAATTCACTTACGCTACCCGTTTTCTTAATGTGTGATAGAGCCTCATCATAATTATGGTAATCCGAAACCCCGAACCTCGCGATGAGCTTTTTTTCAAAGTCTTCCCACCGTATTTGCTCGTTTCTGTCTTGGTAGATGCTTGAAAGCCATTGCCACCAAATGTTTGCCTCGCCGTCAAGGTAGTACGCAGCATACTGAACCCAGTCGGGTTGATGGATCTCGTTGATGTTGAAGTACTGCATCGCTTGGTTCAACCATGCATTTGGATCCGTCCCATTGAAAGTAGATAGTACCAACCTCGTCTTCTCAATCCTCGGCTCTCCTGGTTGGTTGAAGCTTGCGAGCGGCGATCGATATCTTCCTCCCTTTCCTCGAACTCGTTCCTCTCGCATTCATACTCCCTCGACCGTGCCCTTGCTCATTCTCTTCCTCGTGGTGGTGGTCGAATAAAGCGCAACACTTCGTCGATGCGGCGATTCATGGCTTCCATCATGTCTTGTCGCGCGTTGTGGAATGATTGCTCGAGATGAGCCATGTTGCTCGCCATGGTGGTGTTTGTGGCTTCCAATCCTTTGCTCAAGCTCACCATCTTAGCCTCCAAATCTCCAAGCTTTTCCTTTGTTTCTTTGGCCATATTTTATTTTATTTTTACTCACG